ATAATACGACTGAGAATACCATAATCACCGTGACCAATGGCACATGTGGGTATGAAGTTCATCACCGTCCATCCAATTCTTCGATGATGATTACACAACAATAGTGGGACCAACCAAGTCATGCTTGCATATCACTCACTAACAAGTTAATTAAGCCGTGATCAGCCTCATAACCACCTATACCAAGTCTTTCGAGTGTTACAATATACTTATTTACAAGCAAAAGAAATGGAAAAAAAAATGAAAAAGCTTGCTATTCATTTTGTGATGGTTTTTTTGGGGTAAAATTTGTACAAGAGGTTCGAAAGCTGGAGCTATTGATAGCATCACTGGTTTTTCTGGTGGTTGCTTGCGACTTTGGGGAGATGGCCTATGTGAAGCCAAGGCATCAAAGGTATTGAAGGGAATGCTCATTCCCAAGCTTAGTGGTAGTGGCACGACCGGTGCTGCATCGCCCTCATTGGGGATCGTGTTATGCCGTAATCCTCTCTCTTTATATATATAGACAAAAAAAAAGCTAAAAAAAGGATGTCACCTAAAATGAGTAGTAGTTTCGATAATGCATGTTACGATTTAAATTTTTTATAAATTGATTTAAGCTAAATTTTGCGCATTTGTTTTAGCTTGAAATTTAAAATTTTAAGATGAAATATAAAACAAATCCTAAAAAATGGTGAGGGTAATTTTGTGCATCTGTTTTAATTGTTTTATATTTAAGCTAAGATTTTATATTTGTTTTAATTTGAAATATTTCAAGTGTGTAATTTGTTTCTATACTCGACGCTTGTCTTTTCCAAGAAGATTCTTGGTTCGTTCATGGAATAAATGTTAGTATAAGCATCTCTCTCTCTCTTATTTTTTTTTGGTAGCTCAATGATAGAAATTGAACTTGAGATGTAGCATTGCTAGCATCAACTAGTAACCACTCAAGCCCAAGCCCAAGCCCAATATACTTGGTCTTTTTTTTTTCCTTCGATTTGTTACTTGTTTCTGTTTCACTTTTTTTTAATAGCCTTTTTAACCCTTTTTCCATCTAGACTTTGGGTTCAATGGATTCTCTCTCTCCCTGAGAATGATTTATGCTTCAACTTGAATTAAATTTGTGTATGGGGTGTCATAGAGTGCATGCAGATACTTCTTGATTGAGAGTGGGTTTGCACTTTTCATAGATTTTCTGATCAATGTGGCGGTGGTGTCAGGTACTGTGTGCTCAAGGTCGGACATCTTCCCTGAGGACAAAGATAGATGTGACAACCTTGATCTGAGCACTGCATCCTTCTTGCTTAAGGTATCATTCACCCAAAATATTTTGGTACAAAAGAGAGTGCCTTTCACCCTATATTTATGTGTTGTCCTAATATAGTACTAAGCAAGGTTTTAAAAATCGTTGAGCTGACTCGTAATGATGGGTGTGTGATTCTAGTTGAGAAACATAGAATCCCTTGATTCCCACAGCTTTTTGAATTTTTTTCTACTATGTCCCAAGGATGATCCAATTTGGAATCAATCCCCTCGCAATTCAAGTCCATTCCTACTCGTCTGCTTCTGATTTTCAAAACTCTAATTATGACATTTTCTTTTTCCCCATATCTTACAGAATGTGCCTTGTAGTTCTAATTCCAAAGTGTATGTCATCGCCTTACTAGCCTTAGGGCAAAGCTCTACGATTATAGGAACCTACGCTGGTCAGTAGGTGATGCAGGTATTACACTAGAAAGAAGAATTGAGATGCAGATTATATATTTTTTGCAAGATATATATTATTTTTTCAAAAAAGATACTATATATACTAATATATAATCTTGTTATTGTTGCAAGGGTTCTTGAAACTTCGAATAAAGAAATGGTTGAAAAATCTGATGATAGGATGCATTGTCATTACCCAAGTTTACAAGTTTAGTGGTTGCCATTATTGGAGGATCCTCAAGCTCCGCCAGGCTTGCAACCACCAACATCCATGCCGGTGAGGATCCTCCAATAATGGCAACCACTAAACTTGGGGTAATGACAATGCACCTTATCATTGGATTTCTCAACCATTTCTTTATTCGAAGTTTCAAGAACCCCTGCAACAATAACAATAACAAGATTATATACATTAGTATATATAGTATGCTTTTCGAAAAAATAATATATATCTTGCAAAAGGTATATAATTTGCATCTCAATTCTTCATTCTAGTGTAAATATTTGTATGATGTATATACCAGCGTAGGTCCCAACAATCATAGAGCTCTGCCCTAAGGCTAGTAAGGTGATACACTATGGAACAAGAACTACCAAGCACATTCTGTAAGATAGGAAGAAAAAGTAAATGTCAATATTAGAACTTTGAAAATACAGCTGAGTAAGAATGGGGACTGAAGTTGGATAATCCTTCAGACATAGTAGAAAAAAATTCAAAAAACTGTGGGAATAAAGTGACTCCAGGTTTCTCTAGAATCACACTATCACCATTACGAGTCAGCTCAAATATTTTTAAAACCTTGCTTATATTATATTAGAATAACACAAATATAGGGTGAGAGACACTTTGTTTTATACCAAAATATTTTGAGTGAATGATACCTTGAGCAAGGAGGATGCAGTATCGACACCAATGCCACGTTGATAAAAAAAGCTATGAAAAGTGCATACCCACTCTCAATCAAGAAGTATCTACATACACTCTATGACACCCCATACACAAATCTAATTTAGGCTCAGGAAGAGGAGAAAGAGAGAAGAGAGAATTCATTGAACCCAAAGTCCAGATGGAAAAAAGACTAAAAGGGCTACAAAGAAAAGTGAGAAAAAAGTAACAAATCGAAGAAAAAAACAGAAAGTCAAGTGAATTGGGCTTGCGCTTGAGTGGTTAATAGTTGATATTGATATTATCAATGCTACATCTCAAGTTCGATTCTTATCACTGAACCTACAAAAAAAAAAAAAAAATAGAAAGGAGAAAGAGAGATGTTTATACTAACAGTTATCCCATGAATGGAACCATCAT